ATTTGTCCAGATAAGAAACTGAAACCAAATTCCGTCTAAATGACGACACAACAAAAGTGTCTTTCAAATCCAAATAAAAACCAATACTCAATAACAATTTAAAATGCCCTATAGCTTCCACCTCTACCGATTTGTCATCTCCAACATATATCCATCTTTCAGAATCAATTGGCTTCCGGTAGCTTAAGCAACCCTTCATAGAAACACTGATGTTAGTAGTTGCACCTGAGTCTAACCACCAAGTGTTACTAGGTACTGACGCTAAATTGACTTCAGAACAGACCAAAATAGGAAACATACTTTTGAGGATCGGAACATAATTTAAATTGGCAGATACAGAAACAATTGTAGCTAATTAAAAACAAGAGAAATAAATTAATTATGCTCACATTATAAAAATAAATAATTATAAATAAAATATATATTCAAATAATGGTTTAACCCATCTCAAGACACCCAATGCATCATCAATATCAAGTCTTTGAACAAGTAATATTAACTATTAGAGATATCTTTTTGTAATAATCAAACATTGACAATAAAGCACGTCCAACAACAAACCAGTCTTTGGATTGATTTATCATCGACAAAGCAAATCTTTATAATTATCACATGTTTATCATTACAAATGTATATGCAATTCGGCCAAATATTAATCTTCCTTTGGGTCGACTAATACTCGCATGAATATACACAAACACTAATATTTAATATTTTTCACGAACTACCCAATTCAAGAGATGTTACTGTGGTAACTTCTTGACTCAATTTGCTCACAAAAATATTAAACTACCAAACAAATTAATATTTTATTTATATAATAAAATCAAATATATATACTCCTCTAGGTTAGCAAAGAACTCCTGCCATAATTCCACCATAGCTTCATGTAAAGGAGATATAAGTATTTTACTCACGTCATCTTGGTAAACAAATAATTGAAAACCATTTCGTGCAGTTGGCCACATTACTCCAGGCCTAGGCTTTATTTATTCCCCATATCAAAAGACTATTAATGAGTACTAAATAAATAACCCATCCGCATAGCGTCAAAAACCCACTCAAAACTAAAATCCCCCAACCTAACAAATTACCTCACTAACCCGATCGCATTGTATAGTCTCAGCTTCGAGCTTAGCGATGTAAGCTATGAGCGCAGCCTTGTCCTTGTGCTTAATCGATTCCTCGTCAAAGCCGGCGTCGCGAAGGTGCTTCCAGATCTGATCATCAGTGAGAGGACCTTTCAAAACCCTAGAACCGGGGGTAATGGATAAGAGTTTGGAAGAATTGGGAGTCGATAACTCCATCTCCGACTCCGAAGGCGATTATTGAAAAATCAAAACCCTCTCTCACTCTGCGTTCCGCTTCACGAATCGTGGCGTCTTCTCTGTCCACAACTTATTATTCTTTACTTTTCTTTGGCTATGGGAATTTTATTTGTGCGCTTTGGGACTCTGACAGATTGGAACGTGGAGGGAAACGCGCTTTACTACTCTCTATCTCTCTCTCTCTCGATTTGGGAATTTGGGAATTTACCCCAAATTCGAAACTAGGTTTAAAATTTGAGAATTTATCCTCAAATTTAAATTTAGGGTTTACAAAAATGGGAGATTATTCTCCACTTAGGGTTCTGAATTGAATAGAATCTTTGATAAAAAAAAATTTCTAAAGACAAACATGAATCAAGTATGAGTTGCTCTGATACCATTGTTAGGCAAACTGATAATTAAATATGATCTTCGATCTAACGATCAAATATAAAGTAATCTCATACTCATAAACATGTTGTAAACTAAATGTGAAAGCGTACCTGAATCAGCCATAATGATGATGTCCCTTTTAGATCTTATGGTCTTCCACCTGAAGAGCACATGTATTTCCTTCTTGATTTTCTCTCTTGATGGGGATAGAAAGAAAAGAACGGGACTGTAACTACGTTCTGTCTACGTGCTCCCAGAAGGGGACCATGACCCCTTAAAATAACCAAAATTAGGTTAATTACTTAAGTTTTAGTATTTACAATTTGGTCTCTCATCAAATTAGAAATTGCTCTATGGTCTCTACACAATTTTATTTTCATGACATATGTCTTTAGCCAAACCTTTTTAATTTAATCAGATCACTTTATTATTTGACTTAATAAATAATGACCATAACACATTTAAATATGTATCATATATATACATGACCCAAATTTTGCCAACACATATATCCGATCAGCAAACACACATAAACATGGTGTTTCTAGATTCACACAATATTTCAAAAAAAAAAAAATTACAATCAAATCTTTAACATCTAAACTATTATTAAAATTCTAGCATTGATGCATACCATCTCAATTATACTCAATAAAATTGTACATATAAGATTTTAAAATGTCATTAAAAGTGAAAAATTAGATTGGATTAATAATGGAAAAGTCTTCAACTCATTTTAAATTGATGGAATGATAGATAATTTTAATTTCTTAGTATGTTTTGATTTGTCACATTTAATTCGTAATCCAATGGACAAAAAAACAGGACGGATTATGATCCATTGTTTAAAAATATTTTTATTTAAAAATATATATAATTAAAAATACTATTTTTTTATTATGTTGTTAGAATATATAAATATATTGGAATATTATAGTTTAAATTATAAATATTAATCAATTAAATTTAAATTATGATTAAATATTTTAATATATAAATGTAATAATCTTCTTAATTTATTTATTAAAAATATTAATTAATAGATAAAAATTTGAAAGATATTCGTATAATTACATAATATATTTTTAAAAAAATATTGACAACCCGTATTATAATTTGATACACTTAACTTGCAATCAACACAATTGATACAAAATAAAAATTTGTTTGAATATATTTATTACTTTGTATTTGATAATGTGAATATATGTAACACTTATTTAAATTTACATGAATCTTGATCTAATTTCTTCGTATTTGTATAATTCTTCTATTTTATAAACTATTTTTTATATGCAATAAATTTAGTGTGATAAACTATATTTTTAACCATAAGATTAATTATAAAAAAAGGAGGTAATTTACTGTAATTTTTTCTTAAAAAGAGGAAAATAAGCCTTAACAAAATAACAATATATTAAAAAGTATTTCAAAATTTTAACCTAAACTGAGATTTTCATAATATTGAAAACACAATATTTAGTCAAACATACCCTAAACAATTTTAAGTCAAACATATCGTGCATGACTACAAAATCTCAGAAATTTAGAGCAGAGAAATTGAAGGGGATCACAACCCCACATGGTGTTTAGTCAATTAATACACAAAACTTTGCCTCAACGGTTCTTCAAAGAGCATTTTCTTGCGTTAATTTTAGAAATTAAACCCCAATAAACACAAGTGTTCAAATAACAACTTGTAATAATAAAATCACTAACTATAAATATACTAACTGAAGTTAACTTGTAAGATGGATTCTTATTAACTCACAATGTCTAGGGTTCTAAAGCTCTTACTAGTCAAATCATATTATAAAATAGACACGACCAAGTAAATAATAGCACATTTTTTTAGAGATTATATATGCAATGAAAAGGTATGAAAAAAATAAAATAAAAACTTCCTTCAAAACTCGTTGGAAGATTTGGATCTAGTCATTATGTTGGAACATTTTGGTACCAACCAAAAGGTGAAGAAGTAATACCACATTACGCCACAAAATTCCAAGTATGTACGTCACATTTCTCGACACGCAATTCCAAACATTATTAACGATTTCATTTATTTCTGCTACCTTCTATTCAACACCACTCTCTCCCCATTTACACACATCCGTGTTTTTGAAATTTAAAGATATAATTGAAGTTAAATAAATTCAAATTATTATTATTATAATCACTTTAAATTATAAAAAAATATAAATATAAAATGTATAAGATGGATAATAATAAAATTATGATGAAATTATAAAAAATAACTATTATTTATTGTTACTTACCTCATATTTTATATATTATTCGTTTTAGAAATTTTATCTTTTAAAATTTAAAGAGTCAAATATATTTAAATTATTTTTAGTTTTCACTCTTAAATGAGATTCATTAATATACCACAATATTTATAGTTAATATAAATATATATATATATATATATATATATATATTATATTTTTATGAAAAAAAATATATCTTTGATTTATTTTTACTAAAACTAATTCATCGATTTTTTATTAAATTTTATCAATTTTATTTTAGTTTAATTAAAATTTATTTATTTTAAAGTAATAAACCAATTTTTAAACAACTTCTCAATTAAATCAGTTAAACAGGCTGTGTAATCCACCTAAAAAAAAGTAGTGATTATGATTATCTCATACCATGATATTATACTTTTCAAGTTTTTTTTTTAAATAATAGTTGTAAAGTTTTATTGTAATGTTTGATTTTCCAATATTATAATTATGCAGTTTTATTTTCAATATTTTAATTATATTAATTGAATTATAGATGTATTATTTTGATATCTTAAACTTTAATTGTACAATAGAGTGTTTCAAGTATTTTAATTATTTTATCTTAGTGTTTTAAACACCTCATAAGTTAATGGAAAAGGGTAAAATAACATAATTAAAGACTTGAAAAACAATTAAAAATAGCAAAAGAAAAATCGAAATATTATAATAATAAAAAGATCATGACTACTATCAATCCTACTTGTAACTTTAAGATTATTCTTGTATTGTTAATGTGGTTAAACTTCTCTACTAGTACTTTTTTATTAAAATAAAATAAAATAGGTATATATATATATATATATATAAATCTCATTTAATAAAAATAAACTTCTACCTAAACTAAAATTAATTAAAATTTAATTTTAAAGAAGCAAACATAGTTTCCATTATACAAACTAACCTACTAACTATATCTTATATAAGAAAAAAATCTTTTTATTTTCTTTTTGTAAAATATTTATTATTTATACAAATGCCATGTCTTCAAACACGTGCTTCAGCAAATTCAAATGTCGGCGCTACCCACGCTTTTCGTTTGGTCCATAATAACGAGCCGCGAAAGCCGTTGCAGTGCGACATCGACGGCATCCTCAAACCCAACACCCCCACTCGCGTTGGGGTGCGCGTAAGTGAGTTTGGGGATCAATCCAATCACCACCTCGCGCATTTTAGCAACCTCTTCCTCTTCGATTCCCAAAAGCACATCCTCGATCTTCTTCTTCCCTTCGTTCACCTCTCTCTCGTCAATGAACACCGAATACGTATCTCTTTTCGTAGGAAAGTACCACGTGTACTGCGTGTACGCCGTATGCTCCGAGAAGAACACGGGAATACACCCCGCGAGCACAGAGTCAAACGTTGACCGGCGGGTGAAGGAGTCGCCGGGGGCCTGAAGACAGAACGTGGACTTGCTCATGACTTCGAGAACCGCCATGGGGTTGTGGCACCGCGCGTCGCCACTCGTGCACGGGACCAAAACGCAGCGTTCTGACGCGCCGCACTGGCTGACGATGTGGTCGCGCACCTTGGCTTTGGCGAGGTTGGGACGCGTGCCGCCGACGAAGGAGAAGAGGTGGGGGCGCGCGCGTTGGCGAATGGTGTCCTGCAGGGTGAGCATTTGGGGTAGGGATTTTGGGTGGAAGTAGGAAGGGTAAGGGATTGCGAATTGGTTGTGGCCTTGCCATGGATGTCGCTCCACTGTTAGCACCGACATGTTTCGGACAGTTGGTAGGTTAAGGAAGATGTTTGCTCCGAAGTCTGGTCCTTCTTCTCTGCGCATGAAATCCCACGCGGTTCTCCCCAGGGCAACAAAATGGTCCTTCCCTACACGATGATCACACATTTCATCATTCACGTTGATTCTTTTAATTAATTTATATGGTTAAGCTTCTGTTTTTTAAATTATAAATTTTATTTTTGTGAAAAAGTAATGCGTTATAAGTTCTCATTTGGGTTAAATTGATTTTGATCTTTACATATTAAGCGAATTTTGAGAATCATATTTTTAAAATTAGGACTTTTTTTTAGTAACTAAAGTAGAGCAAAATCTTTCCATTATAAAAAAAAATGGCGATCCAAATTATCATTTTCAAAAGGATCTTGTGAATTGGTATCTTTGAAATACTTATCAAGAATTAAAAACATTGTTGAAAATCATATGAGCATTGACTGAATTTAACTTTTTTCAAAAAATAGAAACTCAGATTATTTTTTAAAGTTTTTGAGAAACTTTAATTGAAACACATTTAAAAAAAAATAATTGTTTGAATATGATATTTATATATTTTTTAAACAAGACATGGATAATAACTGCATAATTACATAAAATATAATTATAAATAAATATATATTCACAAAATATTGTGCTACATAATTAATTTTAAGTTAAATAGTATTTACCGTGGTGCCTCTTCCACCAGGGTTGACTCTGAAGGAAGGCAACAAGATCGACGGCCAAGGCATCGCGGAGGGTGAGATTGGCCTCCCGGAACACGCTGGAAGCGTGGAGGCCACCGTAGAAGGGGACGTAGAACAGACGCGCCGCGTGGGGATCCCACGTGCGGCAGGGGTGGTTCTGGAGGCGCGCGTGCACGATCATCTCCCCTATGAACTGGTGTGTGGCGTACCAGGAGGGCGTCGAGAGGGGCTGGCCAAGGCCATTGTTGGCGACATGGGGGCACATGTTGGTGTAGATGTTAAGGTTTTCACAACGTTGGAGGAGTCCTAGGTTGAAGCGTGAGGGGAGGGCGTAGATGTAGAACAATGGTCCTGATCCGTGGCATGTTGTGGTGTGTTTTGGTACCGGTGTGAAGTGAAAGTGATGATGAAGAAGAAGAAGGAGCCATGAAGCAAGAAAGAGAGATAAGAATAGGGTGTACCTGAACTTGTTGTTGATGATGTGCTTGGATTTTGAGAAGGATGGTGTTGGAGAGGGTAGAGAGTGCAGAGGGGGCGTTGGTGATGGTTTTCGGAAGTACATGGAGGAAATTAAAGAAGAAGAAGAAGAAGAAGAAGAAGAAAGTGGGTGTTGTTGTTTGAAGATGGATGGAAGAAAATGGTGACTGGCTTGGAGAATAGATGACAGTGAGAAGGTGTTGGTGAAGAAGAAAGCTGTGGGGGGCCAGCTTGGAAGATGGTTCTGGCTGGTTCACACAGAGAATAATTAAGAATCAAGTTTATTAATTAATATAAACTGAACCTTTTAGTGTTGTTGGTTTGTATTTGGAAGTGAAAATGACACATTTGTTAATGTAAAATATTTTATAGTAATGATGAGGATACAAGTGTTAATGCTGGAATATACTACATGTATAACAACAAAGATAAAAGAAAAAGTTGTCTTCAAAGATTTTAATCATGCAAGTTGAAAATATACTTTTTTTTTTGGTATTATATGAAACTGCTCTTATTAATTGTGTTCTTTACCTTTTCAAAATTACTTTTTTTTTTTTTTTTTTCACTTCCCTCACTTATTCTCAATAGATTTTTATTTAAAATAATTTTATTTAGGGTTTAGGATTTATGTAGTATATATCTTCACTTCAGCCTCTATGTGTATGCATCACCCAAATCGTATTATTTCTTTCTATTTTTTTTTTAAACTTATTATTTTATTTTATTTTATTATTTAATCTTGTTATTATTTTAGAGATAGAATTATTATATGTTTTTTACATTTTTCGTTGTAAAAAATATTAAAACATCAAAACTATGCGATAAGATCGAATAACAGATACACTCGCACCTACACCATGTCCAAGTTAAGAATTTTTTTTTATGATAGATAACGTGTCAAAATTTTTTACAAAATAATTATTAATATATTTAAATAATACTAATAATAATAATAATAATAATAATTATTATTATTATTATTAATTATTATTATTTGACTATATCCACAATAAAATAATTCATACATCACAAACTTGTACAAATACAAATCATAAACACGTATAAAATAATAAATAACAACATTAATAATAGAAGAATTTAAATATAGATTTGGATGACAAATCTTCCTTAAATTTTTGTAAATGAACAAAAATAATTATTTTTCACTCTCTTTTACCTGAAGTGAGTTTGGACAAGACAAGAGAAACATTTGAAGAAGAAATCCCACTAATGGTACTAAGAAAACAACCTTTCTCAAGACCCAAAACCAACAATTTTCTTTGTATTTTGAGTGATCAAGAATTAACAAATTAGAGAAATTTTGCATAAATTAGTTTACATATAAATTGATTTCTTTTAAAAAAAATGTGTTCATGTGCTTTTCTAATTATGAAAAAGTTATCCTTTAAAGCATAAATAGAAAAACCATTTTTCTTGGTACAGTAACGTGTGGTGTGAAACTAATGCTTTATTTCTGTTTTCTTTTTAGTTGTGATGGAGACCCATTATTAGAGCTAACACACAATCTTAGTACCTTTAGAGTGAGGTTTTTACGAAATGGGTGCAATTATCTGATGTAGTTTTTAAAAAAATTATCAAAATGACAAATCATGTTATTTGGGACGAGTTAGTAAAGAAAAATCGTTTTTGGTAATACAATTTGTTGGTTTTATTTTTTTTTTTAAAGAAATTGTGATATATGGCACAACTTTAATATGGAAGTCGTGCGATGCAGCATGAATTTCTTTTTAGATTTTTTTTTACATTTCAATATAAACTAATAAATTAAAAATTGTAATAAAAAATAAATACTTAAAAACAAAATATATTAAAATTGAAACTAAAATATTATAATATTATTGTTTATGTAGATAATTATTATGATTATAATATTTAGTACGACAAAATGAATGTTTTTTTTTGTTTATTTGGATTTGGATAATTCATTTCGTTGTGAATGCATGTCGTGATAGGTCTTACTGATTGTTCATTACAAGAAAATCATTAATTACCGATGGATATTTATCGATGGATATATAGCTGTTGGAAAATGAGTGATTACTAACTGGATTTAAAGTAGTTGTGGAATTTGGTCTTACCGGATATCCATCGGTAAATAAACAATTAATTACTAACAAATATATCCATTAGTAAATCCGTCAAGTAAATGAACAATTAATTATCGATGGATATACCCGATCGGTAAATTAATAATTTTGTAAATAAACAATTAATTACCAATCGGATATTATCGATGGATTTAAAGTATATTTTTAAAAATCAACATTAAATTAAAAAAATATTTAAAATTATATAATAATTACATAATTTTAAATATATTCTAATAAAATAATTATTCACCTAATTAAAAAATTAAATACATTTTTATTTAATAATTTAATTTAATCATAATTAGATTAATTTATAATAATTTGTTAAATTAAATAATTTTGAAAAATAATTTTAAAAATAAATATTTAAGTATTTTTAATATTGAAAAAATTATTTTAATATAAGAATTTTAATTAAATAATAGAAGAAAAAAAAGATAAAAAGAATAAATTAAAAAAATTAAGAAAAATAAATAAAAAATTTATTTAATATCATTATATAAATAAATTATAAAAGATTATATTCTGTCATTAAATTACAAACTCATATAAAGAGACTCGCTCACAAATTTGACATAAAATTTTGAAAACCCATTCGACACACTTTCACCCCCGAGCACGCCCTCACATCGAACATATAAATATATAACTACATAAATATATCAAAATATATAAATATATTTGTATTTATATATTTTATATTTATATATTTACACAAATATACATTTATTTGTGTATAAGTATAATTTATTTGTAAATTTTTATCGAGAAAATCTTTGTAGCCTAGTGGTTGGAGAATCAATATCAAATTCTAAGGTAGTGATATTTCTCTTAATATGCTAATAATTCATACAAATTTCTAAAAAATGTAATAAATAATATAAATAAATAAAATAATAATTCAAATTTTTTAAAATGTAATAAATAATAAAAATATAATATAAATGGGAGGGAGACCTCTAGATAAATAAAGGGTATTATAAATAAATAAAATAATAATTCAAATTTTTAAAATATATAAAATAAATGGGAAATATTACCGATGAATTTTGTCCGTCGGAAAATCCAATTTTTCTTGCAGGTGATGTCACATAGTTGAATTTGGAATGAAATTTAATCTAAGGAAACAAATAATCTCCATTTTGTACGGGATGAAATTGATACTCATAAGTTTTGAAAAGTTGGTCTAACTTGTATATTGGATCAACATAAGTACCAATCTACAAATAACATGAGGAATACACAATAATAACATATGAGAAAGGTAAACAGAGAACTTGAAATTGTCCATAGTCACATCATCAATCATATAATCAGACTGTATATTTTTGTACTCGTCTACCATGTTCTAGGTTTGATAATTCTTAAACTTCAAACTCATCATTTTTTTACTATATTTTTGGATATGGCACATGTTAGCTTGTTGGTGGTGGTCTCTAAGAAAGGTTACAATCTCTTCAAGGTACTCATGTCATGTTCGTAACATAGCTTCTGCTTTCATACCACGTCCGACAAACTACGATTTTAATCTTTCAAATGTGGTTTTGACTAGGACACATATTGGCAAGGTTTGTGCTCCTTTTTAAAAAACAAGTTCATGCACTCTGCTACATTAGTAGTCATACGATCATATCTTTTTCCTCCATCATATGCTTGTGTCCATTTTTTTAATAGAATTTGATCCAACCGAGAAGCAACTTGTTGAAACTCTGACTTTATAATAGATAATTTAGCTAGAAGTCTTGTCTACTTTATCTCATATGCTCAAAAAACAAAATAAGCGAAACATTAATAAATATGGAAAGTAATTATGACAAATAAAAAGTTTTAGTTAAAATATATATTACCCATGTTAATTATTTGGTTTATCATCTTAATATTCTTGAATTTTTTGTTGAAGTTGAAAGCTCTATGTCGAATGCAAAATACTTAAGAGTTTGTTGAACGACTTGGAACCATTTGGGAAGATGGTTGTATGACTCTTCCTAGTTATCAAAAGCTTGTGGCTCGACTTCTTCCTCTTTTCGTAATTCTACCCGAAATAATGAACGCAATAGCTTTTATCGGTATTATAACAGTAATCTTAGGAGCTACCTTAGCTATTGCTCAAAAAGATCTTAAAAAAAATTTGGCCTATTCCACAATGTCTCAATTGGGTTATATGATATTAGCTCTGGGTATGGGATCTTATCGAGTCGCTTTATTTCATTTGATTACTCATGCTTATTCAAAAGCATTGTTGTTTTTAGGATCTGGATCCATTATTCATTCAATGGAAGCTCTAGTTGGATATTCTCCAGCTAAAAGTCAAAATATGGTTTTGATGGGCGGTTTAACAAAACATGTACCAATTACAAAAACTTTTTTTTTAGTGGGTACACTGTCTCTTTGCGGTATTCCACCCTTTGCCTGTTTTTGGTCTAAGGATGAGATTCTTAATGATAGTAGGTTGTATTCACCAATTTTTGCAATAATAGCTTGTTCTGCAGCAGGATTAACTGCATTTTATATGTTTCGTATTTATTTACTTGTTTTTGAAGGATATTTAAACGTTCATTTTTTTAATTTCAATGGAAAAAAAAATAGTTCATTCTATTCAATATCTTTTTGGGGAAAGAGACAAGTAAAACTTAAATTAAAAAACGAAAATTTTTTATTAGTTTTACAAAGAATGAAAAAGAATGAAATGACTTATTTTTTTATCCGGAAGAGATATCTACATCGTGTTAATCAAAATCTCAAAAAAATAACACGTCTTGTTTTTGGTATTACCGATTTTGGTAATAAAAAAACTGCTTGTTTATATCCTAATGAATCTGATAATACTATGCAATTTTCCAATTAAATAACCATTTCACTAGAAGGATTTAAACCAAGTACCTTAGAACTAAAGGTTGATACTCCAACCACCAAGCTATTATGATTTTTTGATAATAACTTACAAATAAATTATATTTATATACAAGTAGATGTA